GGGGGGGGGTCAACAGTGGGAGGGCTTCTAGTGTCTTAGCCACAAGGCATCCCTTGCCCCAGACTCTCAGTCTGGGGCTGGTGCTTGGGGGGGGCAACAGTGGGAGGGCTTCTCGTGTCCTGGCCCCACTGCTGGACCTCCTGAGGGCACCTGGTATTTTTGGCCACTGTGTGACACAGAGTGTTGGACTAGATAGGCCACTGGCCTGATCCAACATTTGGATTCTCTTATGTTCTTATGTTAAGAGCAGAGGTCCATCAGTGGCTATTAGCCACAAGGCATAGATAGGAACTCTCAGTCTGGGGCAGGTGATGCTCTGTATTCTTGGTGCTTGGGGGGGGGGGGTCAACAGTGGGATGGCTTCTCGTGTCCTGGCCCCACTGCTGGACCTCTTGAGGGCACCTGGTATTTTTGGCCACTGTGTGACACAGAGTGTTGGACTGAATGGACCACTAGCCTCATCCAACACTGGCTTCTCTTATGTTATCTCCAGACGACAGAGGTCAGTTCTCCTGGAGAAAACAGCGGCTCTGGGAGGTGAAGTCAATGGCATCACACTCCTGCTAAATTCCTTCTCCAGCCTCCCCCTCCACCCCAATCTCCAGGAATTTCCAACATCAGTTGGCAACCACGTAACCTCTCAGGTTCGCACAGAGAGGCCAACTCAAGGACCCTGTGGCTGGAACACACACTTGCTGGTGGCCTGCCTGAGCATGTGCAGGTCCACTTGCATTGGTGGGTCACCCAGGAGGAAAAGAAGCCGCTTTTGCTTGAAGATCAAAACCTGTGTACTGTTCCAGCCTTTGAGAACATGGACCATGGCTTGGCCCGGGCCTCTGGTTCTCCTCTCTTTCCACCCTTTCCTTTCAGGACGCATCATCAGCTAGAAGGCTCTGGAGACTGGAGCAAACCCAGCCAGTGTTCCCTCTAAGCTGAGTTAGTGTGAGCTAGCTCACAGTTTTCTAGCCTCCGGCTCACACGCTTCTGTCTCAGCTCAGGAAGGAGGGCTCCGGAGCAAACTATGCAGTAGCCAAATTGCTCGCTCACAGCTTTAATGCCAGGAGCTCACAAAGTAGAATTTTTGCTCACGGATTAGAGGGAGCATCGGACCCAGCGCCTGGAAGGGCTTACAGACTCCTTTCCTTTCCTCTCTCTGGAGCCGACCGAGGGGACATATGGAGCCAAGGATGAGTGGGTGGCCAACAGGGCCCCGGTGGAGGGACCCAGCCCCTTGCCTCTTGGAAGCCCTCTTGCCGGCCGCATCCACCCAGGCCTGGCCACTGCCTCCAGTATAGACAGCGGAAGGGCTGAGAGGTTTGCCCCAGGCCACCTGATGAGTATGTAGCAGAAGCAGGATTTGAACGGGGGACCTTAGAGATCACAGCCAAAGTGCTCTCTCGCTGGGCCCCATCTGGCACTGATGGCCCATTGAAGAGGCAACAGCGGCGACTTAATCAAAGGCAGGGTCGACCCGCCTACTCCCTTGTCTCACCCGTGCCTAACCAGGCTGGACCTATCGGCGGTGGAGGGAGCCAGCCGGGTATATGTTGGGCAGAGAGTGGGAGCCCTGGGTTCGGATCTCCTCTCAGCTGAGCTCCCTGGGCAAACATGGGCCAGTCTCTCAGCCCAGGCTGCCTGGCAGGGTTGTTGTAAAGATGAAAGACAGAAGGGGAAATCCGTGAGCTTGGCAGATGGTCGGGTCAGGGAAGGGGAGGTCGCTTCAGCACCCGCCTTCGGGCACTGCCAAGAGACAGCTGACCAGGCTGGGAGAGACGGTGGCAAGCCTGCCTGCTCCTCCCCTCACCTTCGGAAGGCTGGAGAGCATCTCAAAAGGGCTCACTGGCTGGCAAGTCATAAGGCTAATGGAGAGATAAGGTTGCAACCAAGATGCATTTTAAAAAGTTGCTATTCTCATAACTGGCACTATGGCGCCTGAAATTTGAGTCAGCCCCTCCACATGAATTATGCAGAGCCCTGAGAGCAAGAGGCCCAGGCCTGGCCTGGCCGGCTCTGAAACAAGGTTATGACACCTTTCCTGAATGTCTCGGAAGGAGCAGGTCTGGTTTGTTAACGACTCAGGAGGTATTCCTGGAAATAGCAGCGCTAAAATGGCATTTGCTTCTCAGCGAAAAAAAGAAATAATCGTGCGGGTTTTATTATTTACAACAATAAATAACTTCTCTTTACTACCTACTGTGTTCTAAGTGTTTTGCTCACTTTATATTGCAGCTCTTAAAACAGCCCTGTAAGGGACACTGGTATTATTATCGCTTCCCCTCCATGATAGACAGTGGAAGGGCTGAGAGGGTTGCCTCAGGC